CTTTGAACACTTCCTTGTAACAATTAGAATTGATTATTTTTAATTTTCCTTTACTGATCAATTAAAAAAAAATCGTAGTCAAGTTATCAACAATAATAACGTTAGAGAAATACAATTAGTTCAGGGCAAAAATATCTGAATGATGGAGATAGTCTTATAGCCAGTGAGTGGCTGGGATGAGTAAGGACTGTGCCCTTTGTCATAAACTGCATCACAAAAAAGCCAGCACAAATTGTACAATAGGAGAAAGATTTGGTCCCACTTTTGACCTCGCCTATGTTCTACTTTTGTACTATTACACAGACCTCACTGGATTTACTCTTGATCTTCAGTAATGTAAGGGAGATAAAAAGCCAATCCATTTCCCCCCCGCAGCAAGTGCTAAATTCAGCATTACTTACAAGACAAACAGTAGGTGGTATTATTTATACAATAACTTTTAGATGTGTTAATCATTTTAAAAATATGTGATAAGATCTACACATGAAGAAACACGAATCAAACAAGAGTGACATGATTAACATAATCCACATTTTTTAAACATTAAAAGCACCCCTAAATTAACAGGAAAGCAAAACTAACCCAGTAAAGAAGCATCTACACTGCAAAATGACTATGAATTAAGTTAGTTTTCCTGATTTTCCTTAAATCCAAAATGTGCAAACAGAATTTCAATTATTTTCACTAGAAAGCAGAATGAAATAAGTCACTGAGTAGTAATTAAATGTCTGACCAATATAGTGTTTCAACTAATACAATCTTACCAATGTGCCTAACCAATATAAAAAATTGAAACTTGTCTCCTTGACTCATCATGCTTGCTGTAGTTTTAAAGCTGTAGTCTTTATATGGCAAGAAGGATCCAATTTTTTTTACAATATTTGTGTCATACTACACAATTAGGAGTTTCCATCTGATAATTACCAGAAGTATGTCTCATACAGGAAAAAAGTCAACTGATGATGTAACAAGATTAACCAATGAAACACTGTGCTTCAACCCACTTACTTTTCACTGACAGTACACACAAGAAGTACAGTATAAAGCTCCACATAAATACCAAAGAGGAACTTGAGCAGTTCTTAATGCACAATACAGCAGTCTCTAACACAGTGAGGACTAGAGGTAAAAAAAAATTTAATCTGATTTTTTTCCTTTTTAAATTAAAACTTCTATCTCATTTGCATGTTATCATATGTTGTCATAGACATAGGTAATGAATGTATGCATAGAAATGTATAGCATATTTAATTTTATACCTGGGTTCTAATTTATTTTATAGTTATCAGATTCATCTGGAGTTTAAAACTTAAACATAGAGGATGTTAGCCATGTTAGTCTGAAGTTAGGCAGGAGATAGAGCAGGGTGTCACCTTAGAGACTAACTGGCACAACCTTAAACATATAGGTGTCCACAATACAGTTTCTTTGTCAATATGTGCAACCAATCTAAATATTTAATTAAAAACTTGTTAATGTACAGTTCTGTTCTAGCTTGAAATCCAAAAACACCAATATGTGTAATATGTATGTGCGCACATTCATGTATGTGTGTACACAAATACATTGTGCATGTTTGTGTGTACACACATCACATATATATAATGTGCATAGCTAAGCATCTAACGCTCTCAGAAGATAAGAAATTAAATATATATTCCTATAGCTGCATACTGATATACACCTACACTGTACTTTATGACAAATACTATTTTGAGAGAAGCTACATAAAATCCGTAGATAGATAGATGTCATCTGTTTATATATCTATTTTACCTGTAAACAGCTACAACCCTAAACATGGGTTCTCATTTTAGACAATCTGATCAGTGTTTTAAGCCTATAGTTCTGTTTCAGACTCACTTAAAGACACTGCAATTTCAAAACTATAGACTGTTCATGAGCTCCAAGATTTTTAGATGTATGATGGCCAGGTTTGTGTTTCAAAGTTATGTTTATAAGAATAGCTGTAGGGTTTATAACAGAAACGGTGACAGGCCGGTAAGTGTGACAGCATAGTTACTAAAGTCAGGAAAGCTCAGATGAGGGAATATTGTAGATCCTTTAAAATAGTGAAAGACTTACAAAAAGGCCTCTGGTAGGGGGACGTGGTGGGGAGTGGGGGAGAGAGGAAGCCTTGCTGTGTATAGCATTTGTAAAACTTCACTTGTTTGATCAAGTATTTCTATAGTTTTCATTTACTTTAACTTCCATTCTTTGCCCCTCCTCCCAGATCTTGTGCCTGTAGTTCTTAGGAAAATTAGAGACCTCACAAGGTTTATATTTACCAGTTATTTCTTCCACTGAAACGTGTTTGCCGGTAGTATGTTGAATTGTACTTGTCAAATAGAGGGTAAACATACCTGAAGAGCTTGTGGATGTACGAACAGGGCAGAAAGAAAGTAAAAGAAGAAAGAGCAAGAGTATTCCTAAAAATATTTATAAACTTTGAAACTCAGTAGGATGAATCTCAAAAGTCTGAGGCCAGAAATCCACTGTTTTCTAACTTTCCCTTTAAAAAGTTTAAAGATGAGGACGTTTTCTAACTTTACTTCAGCTAGTTAAGACGTGGCATTGAACGAAGTGGAAAATGCTGAAGTATGTGAAACGATGTAAACAAAAAGGATAATGATTTTTAAACCTGGAGCCACATCCTCACCTGGTGTAACCTGGCATTTATCTGTTCACACTAGCTGAAGGGCCAGCTCATAATTATGAGGTGACTGTGATCACCTCTTCTGACATTACGATTTGTGTTACCTGGTTTGAATGAATGAAACAGACGTACAAAAAAAGTGCCTTCTAAGACCGATCGGTCAAATGTAGAAGACCTTTCTCAGCCAGAATCCTCATTGGCATCGATGAGGGATCTGCTTGAGTTAGGACTGACTAAAAATTGAATCGTGACTGTAGTTCTTGGTTACAGTATATCCAGCACTTTTCATCTTCAAAGCATTTTTCAGACATTGCTGGATTTAACCCCAACCCGAAATATATCTGTGATCTTACGGGAAAACAGTAGCAGGGATTTTTTTTGATGTGAGGGCAGTATTTTAACGTTATACACATATATACACAGCCCTGTCTGTTCCGTGGGATTTTCAATTCCTTGCTGCACTGTGCAGCTGTAAAATGTGTAATGTATTACAGAGCCCCCCCAAACAAAAGTTTTCTTTTGCTCCCTTCAGATCTCTTGCCAGTGTTGATAACCTTGAGCTTTTAAAGGTGCATGGAAAAGTGGCATCTTTTCTCCTTCATTCAAAGCAGAACAATGATCAGCTCCAAACATTAAAATTCCCTGCCTTCATCTCCCTCTCATTCACACACCATTCAACATCTCTTGCTATCCTTCTAATAGTGGACAGGGCTGAGAGCAAGGTATTTATTAAAAAGTTTAACTCTTCTCTCTCATTCACGCTGGCTCGGCTCAATTAAACTCAGGTTGCTGATGAAGAAATGAAAGAAAAGAGGAGGAATTATAGCAAGGGGGATTCAGGAAGGGGGGGAAGAGAATGAATAAAATTAAAAGTGGGAGAGATTTAAAAAAAAGGGGGGGAGGGCAGAAAACATGAGTAGTGATATTTGAAGAGAGGTGTGTGTTAGGGGAGCAATGAGCATAAGGAAGGCAGCTTGGCTGTTCCTCCCCCTTCCTAATCATAGCCTTTACTCACAGGCAAAACTCCCTCCCTCTCTCATTCACTCACTCACTTTAGGCCAATCCGTCCTCTCTCTCTCTCTCTGTCTCTCTCCTACTCTGAGACAGAGTCAGAACTCTTCTCCCTGACAGCCACAAACATCTACAGCACTTATTGCATTCAGAGAGGGAACCTGCATACAGAACTTCACAGAAAACTTTTTGTTCTTGTTCCAGAGAATCTGCTAAAGAGAAGGGGGAAGAAAAAAGAAAAAGAGAAAAAAAAACTGTGCGTTTAGGGGGAGGAAAAGCAGGGCCTTTTTAAAAGGGAATCACAACAACTTTTGCTGCCAGGATGCCTTTGCTTTTGAAGAGAGGATTTTTCTTGGTGCTTTGCTGGATTATAGTGAGGAGTTCCCCAACCCCAGGATCCGAGGGACACAGTTCAGTCACCAGTTGCCCATCATGTGCCCTTGCCACGCTCTCAAAGGATGTGCCCAACTCACAACCTGAGATGGTGGAAGCGGTAAAGAGGCACATACTGAACATGTTGCACTTGAGGGACAGACCTAACATCACCCAGCCAGTGCCCAAGGCAGCACTTTTAAATGCCATCAAGAAACTCCATGTGGGGAAGGTGGGAGAGGATGGCTTTGTGGAAATAGAGGATGACATTGGAAGAAGAGCAGAAATGAATGAACTTGTGGAGCAAACCTCAGAAATCATCACATTTGCAGAATCAGGTGGGTGCTAGAAAGAGAAATACTGTGAAATATCTTTCTCTGCCAGAACTGCAATGAACGTTTTCCTTCTCCCCAACAATGTGTTCTGTAAGGTTGTAGGGTAAGGATGGCGATGGGGATGGGGATGGGGAGGGAGGAGAGGGGGAGGGGGGAGGCTGAAGGAATTTGATTCTCTCTGATTTAGTCTTGGCTACAGACTGCACTTGTTAAACTCAGAGAGCCAAACAGTGAGGAAGCAATCTAACCAATCTTGAGCAGAAAGTCAAGCTGCAAAGGGGTCCTTCAAACTGTGCCAGGATGTGTGAAACCAGGGCAGTTGCATTAAAATACTGGATCACAGGGTTGATGGTGAAAGGGAAAGGGCTGCAACCTCCTGGAGCGTTTCTGAGGCAAGGGAACTATATATTATTTTCAAAACAAACCCTTCCTTGTAAAAAATCTATCAGTAAGTATAACATCATAAAGAACTGATTTGACTTATACAAGCGAGAGGGTGGTTTTGTTTTTTAATTAACACAGCATCTCAGGCAATAAAGTGTTGCAGCAACTGTCAGATAACTTCAATAGAACTGGGCAAGCAGTTGTAGCTGATCCAATTTGCAATGCTGACTTTTGCTTGCTGGAAAAAAGTAAGATTCTGTTTCTAAGCACTCCCTGCCCCAAAATGCAACCTTGATAGGGTGCATTTTGAACTATTTTGCTCTCCTAATTCTTCAGACTGGAAAGTTCAGATTACAGATTTTACTAACTAGTTGCACCAAATCATATCACATGCCTATAGAAAGCAGCTGTGAAGTCCTCCTTTAAATGAGTGGGACCAGAAGTCAGTGTAAAACAGCACATATACATGTACAGGCATACACACACACACACACACACACACGCACACACACACATATATATTAACAAGTGTGTGTATATGTATACGTGTGTGTGTGTATACACATGAATACTTATACATCTATAAGATCATCTATGTCTTCCTATATGCATAGCACCTTTCTAGATAGACATGAAGTAGCTAATAACAACTCTTATAAAGATGCTGTCTAGCCAAAGCATTTTTCTTGTTGCCAAGACAGTTTTAAAAGAATGTCATTGTTTTGTTTGGTACAGCATATGGTAGGCAAAGTATGCACAGGAACTCCAAGCATTTTTGTTTAAAAGTTTGCTGCGGCAGTATAAACAATTAAGACAACACTCAGAGTTTCCAGTCCCGAAAACCTGTTGACTCAGATGTTCTGTTTGCAGGAAAACCATGCACAGAAGTGTGCATGCTTTTAAGAACAGACATTCCTCCAGCTGCTCGGCGTCCAACCATACTAGAAGCCTTTGCAATTGGTGTCCTTGTCAATGCACATGTTATTAGTCCTTTCACTAGAAAAGCTCATACTTTTCTTTCCGTGTACTCTCTCTATTTCAAAGACCGAATAAAAGATGTGAATGCAAGTGGTCACTAGGACCCATTGTATTTCTACCTGTTTTAGGAGTGAGCTTTTAAAACCAAAAGTTCACTAGACTCTCTAATAAGTAGATGCCCTACCTGGCTTTCAATAGCTCTCTCTGAACAGTGAAACATGTATAGAATGAATAGTGGTTTCTGTGCACTGCATGACTCCCAATCATTTGTAAACACATTATTGTCTCTCCTGAGCCTTGACAAAGGAATTCTGAATTTGATATACGCCTATTAAATATGACACCCTTGAATTGCAACTCCAAATCCAATTGGCTCACAGAGTCACATGACCGATGATAATCATGCCATTGCCCACAAACTGGCCAATAGTCCAGCTACCAATCTATCAGTTGAAAACTACTGAATGCTCACTCATCACCAGTTTCGTTTATAAAATGTAGAGCTATCAGTGTTAACAACAATGCTAATTTACCATGATTTGCAGTATTCGGTTGCTCATCAGAGCATGCCTTACATGTTTGTATTCTCTTGCTTTTTCTGCTGCAGTGAGGTACCCTACTTTCATGTGAGCCTTCCTCTTGCCTGGGTCTTTCTCTGAGGTGTCTTGGGCCTTTGTTGTATACCTATTAAAGATATAGTTCGGAAGAAACTGAAGCAATAACTTAAAATGTATTGCATAAATTAGATGTGCAAGAGTTGAAGCTTAAACATTGACTTTCAATAGGTGATATTGCTAGCATAGGCTCGACTGTCAGCCATTTCTTTATTTTGCTGAACACAATTTTTTTTTGTCTATGAAAAGAACAGCCATCAAGAATACTTTGAATTTTTAATATCCAGGGATCTCAAAGTGCTTTACATGCACCAGTGATTTAATTAAGCCTGAAACCTGCTCTCACTAACACGGGCTCATTTGTAAAGATGGATGTCACATCCTAAAATGGCATTATTTACTTTGTTGCCTCAGTTTCCTTATATGTGCAAAGAGAATTCAAGTGATTTGCCTAAGGTCAGAAAATATGGATCTGGGGAAAAAAAATCAGGAACAGAACCTAGATCCCTGAGCAATCCTCAACGGCTGTAAGAATTAGTAAGCGTATATACAGTAAAAATCTACAACATTAAGGTATGAGAATAAATGTGCCATCTTCTTATCTTAGTATCAACCTCACTTCTTTTACTAGAAACAAACATCAGGTAAAAAGAGATGATTGAAAAAAACAATTAACATAAATAGGAACATGTCACTTAACGTTATTTCATATAAATGCTGATGGAAAAAGGAAGTTGTATTTAGATCTTAGCTGGTTTGAGTATGACCTGACATAATCCTGTCATCCCTTATTCTGTCAGGAATCATGTTGTCTTTTCATATGCACTGCCATAAAAAATAGCATTTCCTTTTCCCCAGGTACTGTCTTCTAGCAGTGAGATATACAAAAGGAATCCAGTGCATAGACATACATTATTCAGTACATCTACTCTATGGTTTAAAAATATCTTTGGAGTAATATTTTATAATAGAAAAAAACTAAAATGCAAAATGATAGAAAATGCAGATGAATGGGGGAAAGAAGGTAAATATACTGAATTCATCTATAGCACAGGTATTTCCATATCCATGAGATCAGCAGATTTCTTGGCAGGTATTTTTTACAGCTACAATTCTAGGCAGATCTTTGAAAAACTAATGACCAAGAGTATTGGACAAAGGTTTACAAAAGCACCCTACTGTCCTTTGGCATTCTAACAAGTAAAACATGAAAATGATTTTTCTACTTACATATCAAGCTAAGATTACTAACTGAGATTAGTTCTGCTGTGAGCGCAGCTCTGCCAAAACTCTGTGGCTTACTTCAAGGTCGTAAAAATTGTCTTTTGAGGAGAGGGGTCATACATGTTCTTGACAAGCAAAGCCAACAAGTTTCCATTACTTAGATAGCCAACGCTCATAAAATGTACTGACTCCTTTATTATATAAAGTAGATAGCTTGTTAAACAGGTCTGAGATATTGCCATGTATGTATGATCCTGGCATATAAACTAGTAATGAAATGGGTAGCTAATGTCAGCCCCTGAGGAGGAGAAGGGAGCTATATGGAGGAAGCATGAAATCCCAAAGCTCATCATTAGACATGTGTCAAGAATAAATGAGAACTGCGATAGCTATTTATATCACTTTTAACTTTTTGCATCATGTCATATCTATTTCAAGAGTGAACTGGCTTGACAATAAAGATTAAATTGTATCTTTTCCTAGAAAGAAAGGAAGCCCTGCCATTCCTGGCAAGGTTTTGGAGGAGGGAGGAAAGGGGCAGGTCACTTCTCCTTCTTTAAATTATTCCATCAATTGTCTTTTTAAAGGACCCTTATTTAGGGGTACATTTTCCTTTGCTGAACAGTGAAACACGCAGTGGCCACAAGAGGGCACACTCCAAAGGCTTTTAACCTTCCTGCAAGCTGCTATTTTACCTAATTGGATCCTGAATCCTAGAGATCTTTGTGCTTATCTGTAGCTTCTCTGAGTGGAGCTCTTGTTTCTCTCACATAGTTTAAAAGGCAGAAATTTGCTGGAGTGGAAGACTACAAGTAAAATAATGCAGTGTAAGGAAATAGGCAAAGAGAAATGGGGGGAAAGATAAAACTGATAAACTGCTGGATGCCAAAGAAATCTGGAGAGATCAAAAGTGATTTTTTTTCTATACAGACACTGAGAAATGTGACCGTGAATCATCAGCTGAGCTGATTTTGTCGTGTCTTTTTTTAATGCAGTCTCCTTGGCTTTTGGAAAACAAGTCTCTTTCCCCTTGATTTTGTTTTTTGCTATGGCATACTTTATCAAAAACTTCAAGTTTAACAAATGAAAGCAAGTTACTTCCATGAGAGGAAAACCATGCTTAATCAATCTGTTTTATTGAAACAAAATGAGAGGTATCTCCAAGGGCCGGTTTGTTTACGGACAATTAAAGAAAATGCAGACAGATCCAAGAAGGTGGGAATTCATTTAGAAAAGATATCAGAGAGAGAGAGAGAGAGAGAGAGCGCACCCAGTTGCATGCGTGTATGTGTCCAGATATGCATGCATATGTAGTGTCTGCAGCTGAATGCACATATTTGCCTGTATGTATGCAAATGTATGCATGCGTCCATATCTATATACATGCGATAAAGCATGCATTCTTTGCAAATGTATATGCATGTACGTGTGCAACACATTCACATGTGCGCTTTGATATATGTATGTGCATATTTATCCATATTAAATGCCTGTGCACATTCCAATGCATGCCATTATCTATACGGACTCATGTATGCCTTTGTGCGTAAATGTGCATGCAGATACGGGTAGAATATTCTTATATGTGGATTTGGAGGTGTAAAGGCAATTTTGTTTGCATCAAGAGATTTGGAAAATGTGTTTTGGGGTCAAATCCTAACTCATTTGAGGGCAGTAGATTTTTTGCTATTCACTTCAGTGAGCTGGGGATGTGGCTGTTAATGCACAAAAAATGTAATATTTTCCTGAAAGCATAGAGGTAGCTTCCAACCATTTTACTTCATGTTAGAAATTGAAACTGCA